ATTCATAGTTCTTGTATTTTATAGCTGTTCTTAACAATACTTATGTTATTATTCATAGTTCTTGTATTTTATAGCTGTTGTTAACAATACTTATGTTATTATTCATGGTTCTTGTATTTTATAGTTGTTGTTAACAATACTTATGTTATTATTCATAGTTCTTGTATTTTATAGCAGTTGTTGACAATACTTATGTTATTATTCATAGTTCTTGTATTTTATAGTTGTTGTTAACAATACTTATGTTATTATTCATAGTTCTTGTATTTTATAGTTGTTGTTAACAATACTTATGTTATTATTCATAGTTCTTGTATTTTATAGTTGTTGTTGACAATACTTGTGTTATTATTCATAGTTCTTGTATTTTATAGTTGTTGTTAACAATACTTATGTTATTATTCGTAGTTCTTGTATTTTATAGTTGTTGTTAACAATACTTTTGTTATTATACAGAGTTCTTGTATTTTATAGCTGTTGTTAACAATACTTATGTTATTATTCATAGTTCTTGTATTTTATAGTTGACAATACTTATGTTGTTATTCATAGCTCTTGTATTTTATAGCTGTTGTTAACAATACTTGTGTTATTATTCAGAGTTCTTGTATTTTATAGTTGACAATACTTGTGTTATTATTCCTTAATTTTTTGTATTGTAAGAATTATGTTTAGACATGATTATGCTCAAATTGTATTTTTTTTCTAAAAACTTAATTCTTGGTATTTTTCTCTCTTTTTCCCTCTTTCTTTTCTTTTTTATTATTTTGTTGCGCTGTTTGTTTTGTTTTTCTTCTTTCTTTCCTTACTACTTCAGTTTTTATCTAGACAAGATCACTCTCATCCATCTGAAGAAAAAGCTATGGCGAGGAACCAGGTGAGCTGTTGAAACTTGTTTAAAACTATTTAAAGTTTTATTTTTTTACAAATGGTCAATAAATCAATTGTCTCTGATATAAAAATTTGTCTTAAAGGCTGTATGTTAAGATGTGCATAGTGTCTCAATAGAAAGAAAATATTTGCTGTCATTAAGTGTGGAAATTTGTGTAGTAGTCCTGTTAATGTAGATTATAATTATTTTAGTGATTTATTTAAACATAAGTAAGGACAATAAATCTTAACCTGTATGAGTCCATGAGCATTTTGAAATGATAAGGAACAGTACAGATTGAATATGTATATTGTGGTTAAAAAATTATATGTTTGATTAAATCTTATTAATTTACATATTTATATCAGTGCTGTTTCTACAGTTTGTAGGATCAACTTCTGTACACAGACCTATCTGAGTATGGGGCCCTTGAGAATGTCTTTGGTTCATTAAAGATATCATAGCAAAGATTACTGATAATATAAACAGTTTTAAAAAATAACTTTCATATATATTGACATGGTTGCACTACAACAAATCCTGTGATTGTGAATATCAATGTTGTACAGTTTCTCTAGAATATGTAATGTCTGTCATGAGTTAATAACCTTCAGTCAACTTAGAATCTGCATCTACAGTTTATCTTATTTTAATCTTATGCTTATCAGAAAAACTTGTAACCAAAATATTGAGAAATGATTCAGGATATTCAGAAACATGTAAATGAAAGTCTCGTGTATTGTTAATCTGTCAGTCAAGTTTGATGTACATCAGCTTGTGCCTTTCAAAGCTGACTAATATGTTAAGTACTACATGTACAAATGCTATGTTAGACACATGAACTTCAAATGTAAGTAATTTTGTGTACTGTATAGTACAAATTGGAAGTAATGTTTTTAAATGAATTGACTCAAGGTGATTTTGAGAAAGCAACATTTTGATTGTTGTGTTACGGTTGTTGTCGAAGTTGATGACTTAAATGGGGAACAAATCCAGTCGTAGTTACGGTTTCCATTTTCCTTGTAACAGTTTGTATTAAGTGATTGTAACTTTGACAAAATTTCATTTTCTGTTGATGAGAGATGAAGATTAAGGTTATCAGTTGTATATAACATGGTTAACCAAGTGGTTATTAGCTAGATTATATCATGTTCCAATAAAGAAACCTGCATTAATGTCAAATGTGAAATAATTAAAATCATGTAATGTATAAATTTCAGCACATAATTTTACGCCACTTGAATATATTGTTGGGCTACAATCCAGCAGAAAAGGGATTTTTAGTACCTCCACACAAGTTAAGGTGAGATATTCAATTTTCATCTTTTGTTTTTAAACTGCAGTAACTAATTAGTATTTTGGTTGATCTTTGATCTTCAGTATTTAACCGGTCATTCAAGCTTCACACAAATGACACAGTAAATCATATTTCAGTCATTGATTTTGAATTTTGAAAAGTAAACTGTTGACACCATTGTTTATGTAAAAGGATAAAAAAGTATATATATATATATATTAGGGATGGAACAAATGGTAGTTTTGGTTGGATGTCGGATATCTGATCCAATTTAGATATTTTAGGATTAAATAGTAGATGTGAACATATATTTTGAAAATGTGCCAGAGCCATAAGCTGCCACTTCATTGTATTAAACTAATTACTTCATTATGTTTTGAAAATTTGATAGGGATGTAAACAGGGATTTACAGTGAGTTGCAGGTTTTTTAAGGGTAATCGGCACGTGACAGCACAAGAAAGTGCTTCATGCTGCTGATCTTCCCTTGGTAATGTTGTTTGGATTATGTTTGCCATTGCTGTTGCTGCCACTACCTGTAGTGTACATTAGGGGGCATGATGTTTATTTAAACTACTACTATGTTTAGAAAGCAACCATGTGATGGATAATGTGATACAGTTAAGTGTGAAATTAGTACTATGCCTACATAATATTGTGAAGTAATCTATTGATGAAAATGTTCATCACAAAATTAGTACCATGCCTACATAATATTGTGAAGTAATCTATTGATCAAAATGTTCATCACAAAATTAGTACTATGCCTACATAATATTGTGAAGTAATCTATTGATGAAAATGTTCATCACAAAATTAGTACTATGCCTACATAATATTGTGAAGTAATCTATTGATGAAAATGTTCATCACAAAATTAGTACTATGCCTACATAATATTGTGAAGTAATCTATTGATGAAAATGTTCATCACAAAATTAGTACCATGCCTACATAATATTATGAGGTAATCTATTGATGAAAATGTTCATCACAAGATTAGTACCATGCCTACATAATATTGTGAAGTAACCTATTGATGAAAATGTTCATCACAAAATTAGTACTATGCCTACATAACATTGTGAAGTAATCTATTGATGAAAATGTTCATCACAAAATTAGTACTATGCCTACATAATATTGTGAAGTAATCTATTGATGAAAATGTTCATCACAAAATTAGTACCATGCCTATATAATATTGTGAAGTAATCTATTGATGAAAATGTTCATCACAAAATTAGTATTTGATAGGATATTTGTCCAATTTCTAATAAACATGAAAGGGAAATTATGAATTTGTGTATAACCTTTCACAGCTTGTTAGCAAAAACTGCAACTTTTCAACTTGAGAGATATTCAGAATCAAAGAAAGAAATACCGTTTCCGGAAATACTGTCAATATAGTGAAAAACAGAGAATATCCATTAACTTGTGAGCTATTTGCTCATCTGCACTTAATAAAATAAAAATTGTTTCCTAAATGGTTGATGTCAAGTTTGAATAAGGTGCATGAACTACAGAGGGTTGTATCAGAACTACATTTTGACATTGTATGGCATTTCATAGGTAGTGGTGTGATGTCAAAAAATTATTGTTTTTATGAAATGTATGTATTAGCCCTTTCCTAAAACACTATTCTTACACTCAGATTGGGGATTTAGAATTTCCAAGATGGCAATATCTCTTTTACTTAATAGCATTGGAAAACAAAGAAATATGGATCAATGTGAGGTACCAGCACCATCAAGAATTAAACCTGCAGTAAGTTCTGTCATAGCTATGGTAAGCAAATTATGGTGTCTTGTAACAAGTGAAATTCAAGAACTCAAAAGTCAGTGGCAAAATCATCCACGTGCCCCAGGCAACAGTATGCAACATAACGATCAGGATCTCTATCAGGAAGTGAGGTTAATAGGATATAGGTTCACTGGAGAATAAAATGGATATTTCATACTATTTAGTAAGAAGACATACTGGTCAAATCATTAGATGCAGTACTGATAAAACAAGCACTTGGAAACTGCCATCTTCACACTTTAAATGAATCATGGAAAGCAGGGAAAGAGAAATTGTGTGCTTTGGATTTGATGGTATTATGACAATTTTTGGTGATGGAAACTGTACTGCAGTGTTTTTTTTCAAGATGCTCGGTTATCAGGTAGAACATGACTAAATGTGTGACAGGACTGTTTGGTGTGATGAGACTATAATAAGATCATTTTAATATAATATACTCAACTTGTGTATAAAATATCCCACAAATAAACTTTCTCTGATAAAAAAAACTCATTAGATGCCCCATAATGACCGAAATGTACATTATTGTAGCCTGAGTTTAAAGTTCTGTGTTTTTGTTATGGTGTAGTACAAAAGAAGTGGTTTGTCACAGAATGACCCAACAGAACAAACAAGCAAGATGATAATATTGAGTGTGTCTTATTTTTTTACCCAGGAATTCTCCAGTATTTCGAGCATTTCTGGTGTCTTTGCCAAAAGTAAGTTGTCACTGTTTTATTTTTCATAAAACATCATTTTTAGATTTATAAAATTTGTTCCTTATTTTTTTCTTAATAAATTAATTCAGTTTACATAATTATTCTGATGAACTGTAATTTGAAATACAATTAATTTAACATGTGATGTCTAGAAAATATAAATAGTGATTATTGGTTCATGGACCTTTTTTGTTAAAAATCTAATGAGGTTAACTCTTTTTGGCCAAGAGGCACGAAAGTGTCTATTATTTACTACATGGTTCTGTAAAACTCAAATAATTCCTAAGTTTTTATATTTGATATACAATCACTTTGTGATAAAACCTGATAATCAATAAACTTTTGGCCACATATTTAGTTTTTGTTTAAATATAATTCCTGTTTATAAAAAGAAAAACATTACAGCTAGGAGTATATTTCTATTCTTCGTGACCATGGCCAATAGCACTGTGATTGATAATAATGTAGCTATCCTAAAGTTAACAGCTTACAGTCTTGAGGGAAATTATCAGTTCAAGTTGCTGAGAAGTTGGAGTCCTTATAACCTATGAGGTTCAAGAGAAACCATTCGAACAGAATCTGTCGAACAATAGGCCAGTTGTATTGATTTTTTTTTGAGATCATGTGATGAAGACTTGGTACCTGGCCTAAATGGATCAAATTTCACAACACTTATCAGAGTATATATATTTTGGTCGATATACCACTGAATAGAACTATGTTAGCAAAGTGTAATAATGTAATATATACTTGTTAATCCTGTATGCTTGAAAAATTATAGTTTTGCTGATGTGGAAAGATGAAAGTGGACTAATTGTCCTTGAACGTTTCTAACCAGAATCTCTGTCCTATGAAAGTGGACTAATTGTCCTTGAACGTCTCTAACCAGATTCTCTGTCCTATGAAAGTGGACTAATTGTCCTTGAACGTCTGTAACCAGAATCTCTGTCCCATGAAAGTGGACTAATTGTCCTTGAACGTTTCTAACCAGAATCTCTGTCTAATGAAAGTAGACTGATTGTCCTTGAATGTCTCTAACCAGATTCTCTGTCTAATGAAAGTAGACTGATTGTCCTTGAATGTCTCTAACC